CTTTTCCCAGCCATCCCTGTTGCTCCCATCTTTCTGTCCTTTCTCTTCATCTCACTCCACAGCCTCTCGGTGCTCATTGTTTTGTTTTGGTTTAGTCAACATGACACAAAGCTAGATGTATCTGGGAAGAGGGATTCTTAGTGGAGAGAATGCCTCCCTCGGTTTGGTCTGCAGGCGAGTCTGTGAGCATTTCCATGACTGATGATTGATCTCTCAGGACAGAGTTCCCTTGGGGTGGAACCACCCCTGAGCAGTTGGCTGTGGATCGTACAGGGAAGCAGGGCAGGCGAGTCAGGAAGCAGCACTCCTCTATGGCTTCTGCTGCAGTTCCTGCCTCTAGATTTCTGCCTTGAGTTCCTGCCTGGAACTTTCCTTGTGATGGACTGTTCCCTGGAAGTGTAAGATGAAACCCACTCTTTCCTCTGCCAATTGCTTTGGTCATGGTCTTTGTCACAGTAGTAGAGACCTGAGACGCCTCTCCTGCAGGCATAGGGGGAGTTATTTAACTTACTTTTTCTTTTAGTCCATGTGTTTAGCAGTGTGGTTGGGAGTATAGGACTTTGTGTTTGTATCTTGTCTCTGGCCATTGGTCCCATGAGACAGGCAGTATGATTTCCATGTGTTATAACCCCAGTCTTAAAGAGGTGGGCTTGTTGTCTGAGGCAATATTGGCAGCAAGTTGTGAAAACAGAATTCTGACTGGCTCTGTCAGCCATGGTGTTGAGCTCACTGCTTGGCTCCTAGGAATGCCTTTGGCCCCCTCAAAGCCTGCTGCAGTCCAGTCTGGGTGTCTGCAACCTGAACCCCCTGTCTTTACTCTTCCTGGATTATGCAACACTGGGGATCTTGGTATTTAAAGTCCACTGACTGCAGCAGTAGCACCTGGGAGCTTTTTTCAAACTCAGGAATCTCAGGTCCTGCCCAGGCCTGCTGAGATAGGACTTGCCTTCCCAAAAATCTGTAGGTTCGTTAAAATTGGAGAAGCCTTTGGCTGGAGCACACAGTGAGCAACATTAATCTGTCTTCCTTTCCTAATGATGTCCTGGAGTCTATACGGAAAGCCACAACTCCAGAGTTTGGGGGTGCCCCCCCCCAGTGGCACGTGATACTGCGTAGACATAGAAGAGTATTTACAACTTGGAAAATTGCAGAGCTTGTAGCTCCATAGTCCCCCCCCACACACTTTATATGTGTATTGGGTGTTTCTGTGTGTGCATGCGGGGGTGTGTACTCATGTGGAGGCCAGAGGATAACCCCAGGCATCATTTTTCAGACACTGCCCACCTTGTACTTCTCAGAATCTCTCGTTGGTCTGGAACTTACCAAGAAGACTAGTCTGGCTGGCCAAGGAGCCCCAGGCAACCTGTATCCACCTTCCTAGCACTGAGATTACAAGTTCATGCCACTACACCCAACTTTTCTTGTGTGAGCCCTTGTGCTTGTAAGACAAGCATACCATTGACTAGCCTCTCCCATGCCTCCTCTATCCCTTTTAGTGTGTACAACCTACAGCCCAGAGGAAGGAGCTGATGCACCTATATATTAATATCCAGTGTTGCAGTTCTGCTAAGTTGGACTAGAGAAAATTAGATTAACAGAGCTGAGACTAATGAAGGGAGGCGCCACTTAAAACAGCATACCAGGAAGCAAGGTGCCAACCTGATCCAAGCAAGGCAGAACTAGGCTTAGACACCCATTAGCTATGGGACTTCTGTGAGCCTTCTGCTCCTAATTCACACTCCAAGCCACCTCTGTGAGGTCATGGGAGATTAATGTTAAGATCACTCCGTCCCGTGTCCTCTGTCCTTTGGGAGCTCACTAAGCCTTCCCCTCTTCTCTTTCCTTTTCCCAGTACCATGAGTAGAGAGCAGTGCGGTGATTTATACCATCTCGTAGGGCAAGGCACACAGAGTGCCACAGTGAACGTGAGCAGTTATCTCTAGCTAAGAGAACACTGAGGGGGCAGTGCTCAGTACAGTTGGCCTACAGGGCTCTCAAAGTCTTGCAAGAATAGCTCGGGATATGAGAAGAGGAGCGGTTTAGTTTCTCAGACTGATGGTGTGGAGGTCATTGCATAGCTGCGGAGTATGCTTTCAGCAATCGCTATTATTTTGCATTCCAGGGAGATAAAGTCTCGGGGTACAGTTGCATAAGGGACTGAAGCATAAATCTGCCGTGGGCAGGCTCCAGGCAGTGAAAACTGAGGCTGAGAAGGCGTGGGGTTTAGAGGTGAGCAGCCTACCGTTTGCCTTCTCTGCTAAGCCGAAAAGGGAACTGGACTTCCTCCCAGAAGGAAGGTGGGAAACAGAGATGGATTTCTTGAACACAGAGGGCAGAGCTAGGAAAGGGCCTTCAGAAGCACAGAAGCGTCCTGCCATGGGGCACACAAAGCTACAGGAAAACGTGGTTACCATGACAAAGCGCGCTGAGCATCCCTCTGCTCTGCTGAGTCTGTAAGCACCCTTGGACTTCCTTTTCTTCTTTTCCTATTCCCATCCCAACCCCTTCGTGTCCCCAGGAACTTTGAAGCCAGGAGAGATGACACACCACAAAAAGTGGCATTTCTTGGGGTGAGGGTCACATTGTCTTATCAAGCTTCCTCAGGGTTCTCCTAGGGCTCTTCTAAGAATGGGTCAGAAGCTCTGCACGTGGGTCCAAGAACTTAGCATATCTACTGAGTTTCCCAGTGGTTCTTTGGTGGGGGTGGAGAGACAGAGACAGACAGACACAGAGAAAGTGGCAGAGACCAAGACAGTGAAAGAGAAAAGGAGAAACAAACTCAATACACACAGGGGAAAAAAAAAGATAAACACATTAAGAGAGCGAGAGCGAGCGAGCGAGCGAGCGAGAGAGAGAGAGAGAGAGAGAGAGAGAGAGAGAGAGAGAGAGATTGATTTTCCAGTCTCCCAGGCCTCTCTCTGACTTAATAACACGGCAGAATGTAACAGCTCTCAGTAGTGCTTCCCTGGTGACCCTGGGCTTCGTGAAGTCTCTGACTCCAGAGGAGTAGCTGACAGACACAGATGGGGAGAAGGGGAGAAGCTGGCCAAGTCATCAGAAGACCTTAGTGCTCATCTTTGTCTTCTACCCTGGGCCGAGTGAACCAGGGAGGGCCCCATGTCTTCCCTGTGCCCCATCACTAGTGTGTCATGGTACCCACTTCCTGTGACTGATGGGAAGCTGAGTTGGGAAGTTGCTTGGAACCTGTAGGCACAGCGTGAGGAGATGTTAGTGTCACCTTTGCTGTGTCTCTCCAGCTTTGACCCAGATGGTCTTCAGGATGAGGCCCGAGTAGTGAGATGTCATGCCCCATGGCATGATGACCTGCACCGTGTTCCAGACATTGGCCCACACCGCACTGTTTTCCCACTTGAACTTGATGATGATCAACTCGCCAATGTCTTTGTCCAGTGTGATGAGGAGGGAGTAGGTTTTATTACTGGTAATTCCTTCGCCCCTTGAAAATATACAAAGGAAACCAGTTAATTGAGCTCAGCTGTAGCAGCCAAGGGACACAGACACACTCAGGATACTGAAATGACTTTGGGGGATTTTTGTTGCGTTTCCAAAATCAGTGTTCAATAGACAATACTGGCAATAGGTATGAGAAGTTTAAGAGGGTTTCTCTGACAAAACAACCAGGAAACCATACTGTTTTCCATATTAATCACATCAAAAAGGGGTCTGAGATATTTTGCTGTCATGAATAGAGCTAACGTCTTTTGGCTTGGTGGAGTTGGATGATGGATCTGGACGGTCTCTGCGGCTAACACACAGACACCCCATACCACAACCCCCCCTCCCCCCGTATAAAGAGGGCTCTCTCAGTATAAACAGAACCATCCATTAAAGCAACACAGCTTAACAGGACAGAAAACAGCACCTAGGAAAGGATTCATCGACTCACAGCAAGACTGAAGCGCTACTGCGAGGCGTCGTTACTGCTTTTGCTTCCTGGTCTCCAAGACCACCCAGTCCCCATCACTGTCAGAGAGAGGCCAGCTCCATGCCCTTTCTATGCTCCCGAACAATCTCTCAGGAGAAATTGTTGACAATATAGAGGTAACGGTGGGTCTAGGTGACACAAGCTGAATGGAGGATTTCCCGGCATGACTCAGCTCAGATCCTTCTGCCATGTGTTGTCAAGGTGACTAGTGTAGGGATCTACCCAGCCACTGGGCTGTGAGCATCCGCCCTAAGGGCAAAACCTCAGTTTACCCTCCCAGCAGAACACTGCAATGGTAAATTTGGTGAATGTCTCAATCAGTATCTCAGGGACCCAAACTGGGGACAATCTTAAGGAAGCTGTCCCTGAAAGGGATGCTCAGCCCTTGTCACTCCCCCAAGGGAGTCTGTGGGCGTGGTCATTTTCTGGCTGGGAAAGCTGGGGAGTCTCTGTGTGAGGCCTCCCTTGTGAGGCTGCTGGTGTGAGCAGATATGCCAAGGGTGGGGCAGGGGCTGGGCTAGCACGCCCTGCTGACTGAGCGTGCACACCTGTGACAAAGGCAATGATTCCAGTTTTGTTTCTGGGCGTGTTTTCCTGACCTTGCTGGAAAGGTGCTTGGGAATCTAAGTGAGGGCCCCGGCCCCACCCCCACAGCCTCTCCCCTCCAGGTCTCCTCTGGATTGCACACACCGAGTGCAGCCACCTCTGGCTTCCCTTTGCTCCCAGGGCGATGACTCCCTCTACTCTCACAGATGCCGCTCAGGGATCCTGAGATACAATGTGAGAGACAGGATTGGGTCGGTGTCCCACTGACCAGCATCTCTGGGGCAGCCACCGTGGGAAGTACCCATTGAAAAGTGGAGTCTGTCTGGAGCCTGTGAGAGAAACAAGGGTGCCATCACCACAGATGGGGCCACACTGGTACTTACAGCGTGATGGGAATTTTCTTCACTTCTTCTTTTGTTCCCAGCAAGGACATGGAAAAAGTGGGCTCTACTGGCTTCTCAATTTGATTGATGAACTGGATCTTGAACTGGTAATGATAAACTAGAGGTGGAGGAGGGATACGAGGGCCAGAGATGGGGAGGAGGAGAAAAAAAATTAAGTAGGACTTTTTTTTGTGTGTGTGTCTGCCAAGAATGACCCTGAATTTCTTCTTTATTCTTTAAATTTATTTATTTACTTCTATTTTATGTGTGAATGCTTTGCATATATACCTGCATGCCAGAAGAGGACATCAGATCCTGTTATAGACGGAGTTGAGCCATCATGTGGGTGCTGGGAACTGAACTCGGGACCTCTGGAAGAGCAGCCAGTGCTCTTAACCATCAGGCCATCTCTCCAGCCCCAGCCTTGAACTTCTTGTCTTCTACTTGGCCTCCCTGCGTGTCTGGATCACAGACACACTCCGCGCTCCACCGTACCTGGTTTATTCAGGGCCGTACATGCTAGGCAAACTCTCTACCGAGCAAGTACATGTTTTAAATGAGGCAGGGTCTTGTGTGGCCCAGGTTGGACCCAGACTCACCGTCTTTCTGCCTCAGCCTCCATGGTACTGGGATTATAGGCATACGGTCCCTTGCCCAACTATTTAAACAGGAATTACAAATTTAAACTCCTCTGCTTTTTTAAAATTTAAAAACACAGAGGAAACATCCTAAAGAGATAGGTACCAAAATGTTAACAATGTTTCTTTGCTTTTTCACCCTGAGCAGCGGAGCTCTGGACGCTCTTAGTTTCCTTCCTTCTCCTCTCTGTGCATCCTGAATATGGTGCAGGACTCATAGCGTCTTTATAGTACTGATGACGGCGGCTGGGGATCCAGCTCTGTAGGAGACCTAGCATGTGGGAGGCCTTAGGTTCCATCCCTAGTACCAAAAAGCAAAGGAGATAGTATTGTCTGTGAAAGGACTAGGAGATGGCTCAGTCAGTGAAGCGCTTGCCTCATAAGCGTTAGGACCTGAGTAAAATCTCCACGTAAAAAGCCACATGTGGCGTACTTGCTTGTAATCCCAGCTGTTGGGAGATTGGAGGCAGATATAGGGGATCCCTGGAGCTTGCTAGCCAGCTGGTGAAGGTCCAGGACAATAAGAGACCTTGTCTCAAAAAGGTAGACAGCCCCCTGAGTACAGACGCCCAAGGTTGCCCTCTGACCCCAGGACTCGGGGCGTTACCCACTGTTGTTCTCCTGGTCCTGATGACCACACATTCATGTTCAAGGCAGTTCCTAGCATCAAGCTTCCGCAGGTGAAGTGAGCCCGCTTTCCGGAGGGGAGAGGATGTCACTGACTGTAGATCTTTCCGGTCATTGTAGCAGCCACCCAGTGTTGTCTTCTTCAGGATTCTGGGAGGAAACCTTTTGTCTACCTTAACACAGTTAGACCCTACACTTCATGCTCAGATCACCGGAATGGATGCCCTGACCACATGACAAAAGGCTGTGGGTGAAAAATTCAGACAAGAGCTACTGGGTAAGACCAAGTTCTAAACACTTGGGTGACAGCTGTGGGAGGAAGGACCCTGGCTTCTCATCCTAGAACTTTTGGAGAGGACTTACACTATTTGGTGGTTGTCAGGGAACCAAGGCAGAAAGGAAAGATCTACCTAGGACATGGGCTGCAGGCACTAGGGTAGGAGCCCTGGGATGTGGACAAAAATGAGAGTCAGGGGCCTGGCCTCTTGTGCTGCTCTAAGAAAGAGGTGGTGTATTCCTAAGCACCAATGCAGTACCCAGAGCTCTGGTTTTTCCATTCAGCCTTCTGTTATAGGAGATACTTCGCGTTGGCTGCATGTTCTGTCCCATGGTTCTGGGGAGGAGTGGGTAGAACTGTGGGGGTTTCTCCGGTTGCCTTGAAGATATTATCTCACTTAACTCTCACAACAATCAATGTTATTATTATTTCATTTCACAGGGCAATGTGCAGCACGCAGAGCTTCAGTGACTGTCTGAGGACCACACAGCTAGTGGCAAGTAGCATCTCAGAGACGTAAGCCCAGGCAGCCTAGCTCTAGCAGCTGAGCTGAGCTAGAACCAATAGCTTCTGTATAGCCCAAGGAAAAAGTTGAAATGTAAAAAGAGATTTAAACTGAAAAAAAAAGTCAAAATAATTATCTAACTAACAATAAATCAGGGCAGGGCATGGTGGTACATGCCTTTATTCCCAGCACTGAGGAGGCAGAGGCAGGAGGATCTCTGTGAGTATGCTGTTAGCCTGGTCTACAGAGCAAGCTCCAGGACAGCCAGGACTACATAGACCCTTTCCCAAAAATCCAAATAAATTAAATAAGTAAATAAATGAATAGAAACCAGGAACAACTTAAGTAGTCAATACTGGTAAATTGATAACTTGTTTCTGTGATGAGATTTTGTTCTGTCAGCCAGGCTAGTTTGGGATTCTTGGGTTCATGTGATCATCCCGCCTCAGCCTACTGCGCAGCTGGGAAGACGGGTGTGTGCTGCTGTGTCCAGCTAGTTGTTAGAGTCCTGAACCACAGAGGCGGAGCTTCTCAGGCAATGACCTTAATTTTCTTCACGTGGTTTCTGCGGTACCAGCTTTATCGTCCTTGTGATGGCATCTTCTGAAGGAAGAAACCGAGGCTTCTGGGAGGTGAGTGCTTTGCTCGCCTTCTAGTGACTAATGACTGAAACGGGACAGTTGACTCTGACGTCATGTGTCCAGCCGTGTGATCGACTCTTAGAAGCCATTGAAATATATTTTTTTTCAAGAGCAGGAGAGATGGCTGGAGATATGGCTCAGTAGTTAAGAGCATGTATTGCTCTTGCAGAGGAGCTGCGTTTGATTCTCAGCACTCACCACTCACATTGCCCTATAACTCCAGGGGCTCCTGCACCCTCTTCTGACATCCATGGGCACCTGCACTCATATGCACATACCCCCCCAATTTAAAAATAAAACAAACATTTTAAAGATATTTTCCCAAGCAATTTCACTTGATTGAAGAAATGAAAAGGAAAGGAATGAAAAGAGAAACAAAAGTTATAACCACAGTGCATGAAACTGTCTGCGGCATCTAAAAGCATACTCTGCACAACAGGAAGCATATTCCCAGAAGTCACAGGAGTCTGGACATGGCCAGAACTTGTGAGCACTCAGAGAGGGCAGGGAGCCAGGGCCGATGTTTTTTTGCAAGGTCCGCACCTCCTACAGTAAGTGTTTTAATTATTCTCTTCTTGGGAAGAGGAGCTTTTCAAAATGTTTAAAAAGCAATCAAGAGAACAAGAAGCTACAGTGCCCTGGCCTGAAGGAGCTGGCATTCAGGCTGTCTAGCCAGAGACCTGCCACCCTCTGCCATGTCTGGTGGCCTTCATTGTGCGTAGCCCCGCTCCCTGAGCACAATCTTAGGGGAGGGAGTCTTGTCACTTTAAGAGTCGCCATAATAGGACAAAACTCATTAGACATCCATGCAGTCAGTACACAGTGATGTTTGTTAAAGAGCCACAAACAGACAAGCTGCATTAAAGCCCCCCAACTGTAATGAGAAACACCCATCAAGCACCTTTGTTATGGTATCTCAAGCTATACCCTAATATTCTAAATGTTTTACTCACCTCCCCCCCCCCATTTTTTTGGTTCTCTTTTTCAACTTTGGTTTTCCGAGACAGGGTTTCAAGCAGCCCAGGCTGTTTTGAACTTGATAACAGAGGTTGACCATGAACTACTTGCTGGTGGTCCTCCTGCCTCTACCTCCCAAGTACTGGGATTACAGGCGTGCACCATCACACCAAGTTTGTGTAGTGCAGGGAATTGAACTCAGAGATTCAGCCACGCTAGGCAAGCTGTCTGCCGACTCAAGTCACATCCTCAACCCTCATTTTTGGTTCTCTTAGAGAAATTAAATACTGGCAACATGCTGGCTCTCTTCGCTGGGGTTCCATCCACTCTTTGCCCTTCTCTGCCTACCTCTGGATCTGGGATGTGACTTTGACTGTATCTGCATGTTCTCTTGTTCGTTGGCTTTTGGGTAGGCTTGGGCACTAGGGAGGTGCTGGGGGGGTATCCCAGGGACTTTCCTCTGTCCCTGTATGCTCTGGAGCTGCCTCCGCAGCAGCTGCCCCTCTTCCCAGCTCTTCCAGGATATCCCAAGGTCTATTCTTTCCTCGGCTCACCCCCTTCTGATGTCACGGTCAGGTGATGCCACAGCCCTTGCCAACTTCCTTTCCATCATCCATCTCTATAGGAGTTCCACTTTCCTTCTTCCATACATCCAGGCCAGACAGTGGGGTCCTGTTTCTCAGCTGAACCCTACACAGATAGATTCTGATGGTCCTGATGAATTTCAGATAAGGGCACCAAGGGTTAGATATCTACAGTTATCTAGATGGTGAAAAGCAGAACAGAACTCCAGACCTGGCGTCTGGTTGCAAAAGACCCTTCACATGTCATCTAATGTTGGTATCCAGCAAGTGGTGTGTGCGCTTTGAAATCAATGGCAAATGTCGGACACCGAAGTAGCCCCAGGGTCCAGCTATCACTGGCGGGGAGAGAGTTTCTTGTCCCTAAACTGGATATGTGCTTTTTCTCTCCTCTTTTCCTAAGTGCTCTATGGGAGGAGATAGATTTCCACATCAGGGAGGTTGCAGTTTTAGGGTCCTGGGGGCTGTGTGGTTAGACCTGATTGTCAAGGCCCCTTGAGCTCGCACAACCTACAAGGGAGAGCTGCCTTGATGCCAGGAGGCAGCTGCTTGTTCAGGGGGCAGGTGTGCAAATGTAGAAGCCAGGTGTGGTGGCAGACGGATGTAATTCCAGCTCGGGCTACACAGCGAGGTCCTATCTTAATAATCCAAAACAGTTAAATGAACATAATAAATGAAATGATCACAAAAGGCATGTGTGAGATGAGGCTGAGGGACCCTGGGCAGCTTACATCAGACCTGGCTGGGGGAGTGGGCGGCATCTTCTCCATGACGCTGGGGCCACCAATATTCAGAACACATTCCTGGAGACCCTGTGTCCAAACTGGGACTCTGCTTTGTCAGTGCATGAATGCAGCCACCTTTTTAGAGAGATCTTGAAGTAAAATGAATTCAACATGAAAAAGCCTTTTAGGCGTGGTTATGGCTCAGTAGGGAGAGGGCTCATCTAGCATATGCAAGACTCTGGGTTCAGTCCCTAGCCAAGCCTGGTTATTGGTTCTTACTTGAATCGGTATCAATGTTTTTCTTAGATGCTCATAGAATTACAAAGCTAGCGGGGGAAAAGCATGACTGCTTTGCTTGCTTACCTTATATGTGTTTAACTGGGCTGCTAATAAATGATTTAGCCAAAAAAAATTACCCCGTGACTTCAAAGAGTCCAGATAAGCCTGTGTTCTCACACAGAAATGATTTCATGACTTGTAGATAAAAGGCCTGGAGGAGTCTGCTGACCTGGAACGCAATGAGGTGACTCCCTCCCGAGCAGAGACCTGGGGTGAGTCTGCACTGTGGAAAGTCCTGGATTCTTGTTCACTGTGGACTCTGCTAGTGCCATTTATTAACACAAACAACATCCCAATTTTTTCTCCTCAGAGTGGCCATGATGAACACAAGGTATAGAATTTGTGGAAAGAAAATGTTTTGTTTCCTGTCCTTTTTTTTCCCTCTGTCAACTGTTACTGGGTCTGGAGGTCTTATGACCTCTCTGCAAACATCACAAAAGGCTTTTGTTCCCCTGGGTGTGGATTTTATCTCACTGAGCTGTAGGGATGAACTCTCCAGTGCTTTTCTGAAGTGCCAAGGACTTGTTCCTATACTTCAGGGAAGCTGACAGTCACAGGACTAAGGGTCCAAGGATTGTGTGGTCCTGATGTTGAGGCAGGGGACAGCCCATGGGCCTGTGATTCATTGACCCAGAGCAGGAAAAGGGAAGGAAGGAGGGTCATGGGACTTTGTAAGTATGTGTGTGTTTATTCTAGCAGTCATATCTGGGTTCAGCACTTAGGACCTGATACTCAGATGCCATGAGACTAGATGCCTATCCCTTCCGTGGGGAGCTTTTTAGTATGTTGTTGATTGCCTAAGAATGGAGAGAGGAAAATACGTAAGATTGCTTATGTGTCTGTATGTATATGTATGCATCTGTGATGTGGGATTCACCTCTGTATGCTGTGAATATGTTTTGTTACCATTGGTTAATGAATAAAGCTACGTTGGCCTATGGCAGGGCAGAATAGAGCAAGGCAGGAATTCCAAACAGAGGTAGAGGAGAAAGTAGGTGGAGTCAAGGAGATGCCATGTAGCTGCTAAAGGAGACAGACACTCCTGAACCTTACCAGTAAACCATGAGCCGCATGGTAAAATATGAAATAATAGGAATGGATTAATTTAAGATGTAAGAGTTAGTTAATAAGAAGCCTGAGCTAATAGGCCAAGCAGTGTTTTAATTAATACAATTTCTGTGTGATTATTTCAGGTATGAGTGGCTGGGAACAAACAAGCAATCTCCACTTACACATTTGTGTATGGTGCATCTGAGTATATATGTTTGTATGTCACTGTGTCTGCATGTATATATTCACATTCATGTATCTAAATGCATACATTTATGTAAGTAAATGTGTATATGCATATATATGCACGCATATATGCACTTGTATATATGCATATATTGTATATTTGTGTATGTACTTGAATATGCATGTGTATGAATGTCTTGCTGCATCTGTGTATGTGTGTATATTTGTGTGTATATGTATATTTCTACACATGTATACATATGTCTATATGTGTGTAAACATATGCATGAATATATTCATGTCTACGTGTATGCATATTCATTCATGTATGTATGTGAATTGTATGCATATGTGTATGTAAAGGTATATATGTGTTTATATAATTTACACATGTATATGTGTGTATGCATATACATGTGTGTATATTGGGGTATATATAAACATTTATGTTTGCATGCTTGTGAATAAGTATGTATATACATGTTTGTGCATTTGTGTGTATACATACATGTGGAATATAATGCTGGTTGACCTCCTGTTTTTAGCTCCTTGTACTCTGGGTCTTCATTGTATGGTGGTCATAATGATCCTTATATGGGAGGCAAAGCCCAGAGTTTGGGTTCTCGTTGTCACTGACACCATGCCCTGGTGATGGACTCCTCACAGCACCTGGACGTGATGGACGCCCTTGCCTTCTTGAAGGTATCACTCCTTATAGCCTTCTCCCACTCCCTCTCTGTGGCATTGGCCGGGCAGTGAGGTCCAACAGAAAGACCCATTTGTAGTGGCTCATCTCCACACTTGTTGACACTCCTTACTTTACAGCTAAAAATCAACCTTCCTTACGCTGATCTCAGTTTCTCACTGTTTCTCTGGAACTCTCCCTGGAATGTAGTGGAACTTTCCAAAGAATTAGTTGAGAAAAGCCCAAGACAGACAGATCCCTCAAGTGACAGTTTGTCTGGTCACTTAGAGGAGGTCTGGGGAGAATGGAGAGGCAGCGGGGAGGCCGTTAGAGGAAGAGTCAGGACTGTGAGATCACTCTGGGTCTGGGTCTGGGTCTGGATCAGAGACTTCAGAGGCTGTCAGAAGTGAAAGGCTAGCTGTGCTATGCTTACACTCACAAATGGTGTGACCTCTCTGATCTCAAAGTGTTTATAGGAAACCTGAACAAAACACATCCCATAAATTACGGCATTCTCCCGCCTGTCTCTGTCTCCTCTCCCCGCATTCCCTCTGATAATAAGGCAGCAGAGTGCTTTCCGCTCTCCCTGCACCCGGTTACTTCATCTGCTTCCTCAGAGGGTGACACCAGCCCATCACTAGCTAAGCAGGACTTAATACAGATTCCTTCCTATCCTTTAAAAACAGCCTCCCAACTGGCCACACTTCCTCCCGACGGAGTGAGTACAGGGGCGGCTGATAAATTGCCTGGATCCACTGGGTGGCCAATTCCCGATTCTCTTCTGCCAAGGTTGCACTCAGCAGCTTTCCCCGAATTCTGGCAGGGATGTTTGCAGAGAAACAGATCCTTTGATGGCTCCATCAAATATCTCGGGGGCCAGGGGAATGTGGGCCAAGTTAGTGAAGTTATAATCAGGGCGTTACATTTATCTTGCTTGACACACCAGACCCTGACCAAAAATGTACAGTGCGTGTCCTAGGAAAGTGTGAATAGTGACTCCTCTGTACTGCGGGGTTGGGCAATGTGGTCTTCTCAAGGTTCTACATGTGACTGGGAGCCCGCAACAGAGAGGACCATGGTCATGGCCATTGGAGAAGGGGGAGTCATGTGGCTGCTTTAAAGGCCTTGTACCAGCACCATCAAGAGAATTTTCTACAAGATTGGAATGTTTCATTTCTGTGTTGTCTGATTTAGCAGCCATGAATTTATTTGAACCCTTGGATGGAGGCTGGAATGAGTAATGGCATCCTGTTTTTTTTTTTTTCTGAAGTATTTAAATGAGGGTTTAGTAGGTGGCTCAGGAGGTAAAGGTGTTTGTTAACAAGTCCAACAACCTGAGTTCAATCCCCGAGACCCACATGGTGGAGAGAATTGACTTGTGCAAATTGTTCTCTGATGTCCATAAGTGCACACCATGCACAATCCCCCTCCCTCCTCATATATTATATAATAAAGTAATAAAAATGTAAAAAGTGTTTAAATGGAGTTAGTGTATGGTTTGGTTACCTTTCCTGTACAATGATATATTGGTGACAGAGCTGAGCAGTTAAGTCTCACAGGGTGTCATCTACAGCTTCCCTGGGGCGGGATGATGTGGCCACTGACACATTGATCCCATGGTGAGGGACATTAGCTTGGATACATGAAACCTTGCTCATTGGAAGGAGTGAAGAGGAACTGGGAGACTAAGGACTCAGTCCTTAGCTTTATCCTTGGCTGGTTTCAGGAAGTCCTGGTGAGTCCCCTCCATATCACTGGCAAGGGGGTACTGTCTTCACTGGATGTGCCTGGAGCAAGATAATTTACTGAAATATAGTGAAATAATTGTTTCCAAGGGACCTGTTGCCCTGAGATGGGTTCTGTCAGTGGACAAGATTACTGGTGGGTCACTGGTGGGCAAGACAAAGCAGAAAGATTGGATTTTCAGGGCAGCAAGTGTTGATTGGTCCCTACAACTCTGCACATGCATACAGCTCTTCTTTCCTGGCTTCCTTCTCTGGTCACAGCAGCCCAGAAAGAGTTCCTGAACCTTCAGGTAGGACTCACCTCTGAAGGGAGCCTGAGCTCGGGTGATGAGAAAGAGCTTCTTGCTCTTGCCTGGCCAATCCTTGCGGATGTCATAGCCCAGAGTGTTGCAACGGCCCTTCTTGCAGCTTAGACACAGGCCCTGGCTGAAACTGTCCATGTCACTGCATTGGAAGCCTGTGCTCTGCAGGCCGCTGTGTCGCAAGGAGTCAATGAAGAGGTGCACCGAGCGCTCATGAGCACATTTGATGGTCTGGGTTATGGCTGAGACACAGGACAAAAAGACAATTAGCACTCTGAGCCCCAAGTGGCCCCAGCAAAAAGACTCATGGTTTCAGTCCTAGGCAGGTGTGTGTGTGTGTGTGTGTGTGTGTGTGTGTGTGTGTGTGTAGCAGGATTGCAGTGTTCTCCTAGACAACAGGGGTCTGTTGCAACAGAAAGCTAAAGAAAGTAGACCTCTGTAGTGACTGAGATCACCCTGCTATGATAACATGGATTAGATGGTGTTTTTATGGGCACCTGCTGTTCCTAGGTAAAATCCAGATAGCACAGCTCACTTCTGAGGTGTCCTCACATGGTTAGCAAAGACCTAGTGCAGAGGTCTGGACAGAGAGTTACTTGGATAGGGCTGTGGGCTTCCTCTCTTCTTACCACAGCCAGGCTCTCCAAGTCTAGGGCCTAATCCCCAAAGCAAAATTTTTAGTGTTAAATATTCTGGGGTAGTGGTGGGTTGGGGGTACAGCAAGATGGCTTGTTAAGGAAAGGGGATCACTGCCAAACCTCAAGACCTGAATGTAACTAAGATAAAACTCCTATAAGTTGCCTCCACACACAAGCGTACCCAACACACACACAAAATAAAAGAAATATAATAAAGATAAAAATTAAATGTGTGTGTGTGTGTATAAGTGTATGCAAGTGTGCATGTACCACAGTGTGAGTGCTAAAGTCAGAAGACAACTATCAGGAGCTGACATTCCCCTTCCTCCTTTACATGGTCTGGGGACCCAATTTAGATCAACAAGCTTGCATGGCAAGGGCCCAGACCCACGGAACCATCTTCCTGGTCCATCAACCTTTTTCTTTCAAGACAAAATCTCGTATTGTCTGGGCTGGTTTTGAACTCTTGTCTCTCAAGTGCTGTGATTACTCCATGCCTGGTTTTATGCAGAGCAGGTTCCAGGTTTTCCTGTAAGCTCCGCTGGCACTCTGCCTGGGAAGCTACACACCCATCCTCCCAACATGAAATCTGACCTTTTTAAAGAAAACCTTCCAATTTCTAATCTAATCTGTAGCAAATTATTCTTAAGTGAAGTCAGGGAACAACCAGAAGATACAGAAATACCTAAAGCCAGGTCAGGCACAGGGCATCTTGCCTGGAGCCACTTCCTTTAGTGTTTTAAACTAAATGCAACATTGGTCATCCTGGTCACCATCAGCTCAGCTGCTGGTGTCTGTTAGGAGGGCTATACTGCTGGCTGTCCATGCAACCATTCCCCACAGCTCCCCAGCAGTGCCTGGAGGCAGCTGTTATCAAAAATGAGAAAATAGCCTCAAAGACATTGGCAGGGCTCTGGGAGCTCACTGGGTGTGGGTGTGGTGCCTATGTATGTGTGGGTGTGGTGGGGTGAGGAGGGTGGGGAGGGTGGAAAGCTGTTATCAAGCTATCTTCTGCATAGGTGTGGTTGGGGGGAAATTCTCCAGAATGTGAGCACTTTAAACAAAGGGGTGAAGGACTCGGAATTCCTCCTTACCCCCAGTTAGGCAAGCAGGCTGCATTCAATTAACTATGCCATTTTAAGTTTAGCGTGGAAAAGAAAACGGCAGTGACTGGTGAAAAATGTGTTTACCAGGCAAGTGGTGACCAAACACTATCCTAGGGTCTGTGCTGAGCTTTGCAAGGAGGGGCTGTAGCTCTGAGAAAGTGTGGGTGAATCAGGGGGGACCTGTGGCTGACCGGAGGAGTGGTGATGCTAGGGAGATGCAAAGACAGATAAGGGGAACTTCCCAGAAGGTTCTGGGGTATAGCGGGAAGCTGGGAACGCAGCCAACTGCAATAGGGAAGGCAGTGAGGTGTGCGAAGGTATTTCTGATACTGGAGAGGTGAGGGTGGTGATGGAATCCCCAGGGCATGCTCAGCCTGGATTTGGATGACCGAGGTGGGAAGCTAGTGTGTAGGAAAGGGGTCTCCAGCTGTCACAGAGTGACCTGGCACGCTCCCATCAGGGTAGCAATGAGAACTCTAGAATGCCTGCAGTTTCCATGGGCCTGGAAGGCGCGGTTGCATGTTCTTTAGTTCCTTTTTATCCCGTGTGTGTTGTCAATGTGCAGTTCAGTAGCTCTGCTGCTGGAAGTTGCATGGGGGCATGTGGGCCTCAGGGAGAGTGATAACGGGGGTTGGGAAGTCAGGCCTAGGCTGGGGAGAGGTCAGGAAGAAAGTGATCGCCATGCAAGCACAGGGATCTGAGTTCAACCCCCAGAACTCAAGAGCAAGAGCCAAGTATGGTGGTGTGCTTGCAATCCCCATGCTGGGGCAGCAGAGACAGGCTTGGGTCAGCTACCCTAGCTGAATCAGTGAGAACCAAACCAGTAAGATACCTTGTCTCAAAAAACAAGATAGAGTGCGCACCCGTGTACGTACACACACACACACACACACACACACACACACACACACACACACGAAGTCAAATGCCCTCCTGTGACCCTAGAGACTGGAAGCCTCCAAAGGTGGAAAGTTCCAGAAAGGAGAGGACAACAGGCAGGGCCAGGACTCAGCTCTCAAGGGAAAATGCCCTTTGAGCAGCTTCTGTGTCACTCTGGGCAGGGGTGGGAAGAGATGGCTCCTGATGGTGTTCTTCCACGTGGCCTCCAACGCCCTCTGAACTGTTACAGGGAGTAGCTGGGGGGGACCACCAGCCCCCCAAAAGACCTTTGAGACCCTATAGCAGGGTCTCTAGCCTTGCTGAGATGGTCCTGGAGGCCTCAGAAACAGGCAAAGGCTCTAGGCTTTGACTTTCTGTTCTTACCGTTTAAGCCGTGCTCTGCAATGTGTCTGTAGAGCTCCAGGAAGTGGCAGCCGGGCTGGAAGGTGCCCCCATTGGGGTAGAAGTCATAGTGGGCAATGGGCTGTTTGATGCCCACACTCAGACCCATGTGCTCACGGGTGAAGGTGTGAATGGCATCCACAAATATGGCATCATCTGGAGAAAGACGGTCGCTAGGGGAAGATCCCTCAAACATAGGGCCTGCAGGGTCCAGTCCTGGTGAGAAAACAAAAGCAGGCATAGATCAGCCGCAGAAGGCTCTCCTCCCAGCTCTGATATCTTTGCACATTTCTGGGCGAGCAGGAAGACAAGAGCTTGCTGCTTCTCTGGAACCTTCCACTCTAACATTGCTGTAGAGCCACAGTCATTCACGGTGCAGAAAATCACCCAGGCCAGGCATTATTCTAAGGGGAAAGAGGTTTGCAGATCAGGAGGTAACAATCAGGTTATGAGTGAATGCTTGATTTATTTAAGCAAATCAATTTTAAGTGCCTCCCCTGGTAGTTTCTGCAGCATCTGTTTGCATAAAAATGCAGCAGCCCACGGTGCTCATTATATGCAGGTCTGACTCCTTGGGCAAAGGAAGAATTTGTTTGCCTGTGTGTTCTCAGTAGTCTCCTCGAACAAGCTGGCTTCCTATGCGCATGTCATCTGATTGGAAGGTCCAGAACAAGCTAAGGAAGGGATGGAAAGTGTCAACGTGTGGGGGCTTAGTAAGCCCCAGGCTCCGAGTGACAGACATACTTGCAGGAACAAGAGGCTCCTGGACGCCTGCTCGGGGAGAGTACCTATGCAGCACGGACTCTCTTTCTCGCATTTGTCTGGAGGACCCTTTGGTGGCAGGCCTCAGCCCCGGCTGCCATCGTTGCTGCAGCCAAGGGAGGAATTGACAGTGAGCGGTTAGGTCCCCTGCTCTCCACCCCACCTGCGGCCTTGGTGCCATCCACATTTCTTTCTTTAGACTGACAGCCAGATGACTGGAGCATAAGGAGCCCTTCTGCTGTCGCCCGTGTGGGTGGCCTGTTGTAAATGCTGGGATGTGACAAGGCCTGCTGGCATGGGAGTCTGAGGGCTCAGGCCTGATAACGTCTCACTTTGTGGAATTCTTTGTTTTTCCTTTTTCCAGTGTGTGTGTGTGTGTGTGTGTGTGTGTGTGTGTGTGTGTGTGGTGCATGTTTACATGCGTGTAGGCACCTTTGCAGGTAGGAAGGTGTGCATGTGACACCAGAGACTGATGTCAGGAGTCTACCTTAATTGTTCTTTCACCGTATTCAATGAAGCAGGGTCTCCCATTCCAAGCCTGAGCTCACCGGGCTATTCAGCTTGCCTCGGGGCTCCCCCCTCTCTATCTTTACCTTTCAAGGCTGGAATTATGGGTGAGATTCCACACCCATTGGGCATTTATTCATACTCTGGGGATCCCAGCAAATTCCAGTCCTCAAATTTGCTTGCAATATTTAAGCCCAAACTTTGGGGAATTCTGACCCCTCTAGCAAAGCTTCTAGCAAGGCAAGGCATTTAGGTACAATGGAGGCAGGAGTGTCAGGCTAGATACAGAGCTGGAGGCTGGCCTGGGCTACATGAGACAGGTCTCAAAAACAAAAACACAAATAAACAACAAAACCAGTTTGAAGTTTCTTGTTCTAAAATGTAATTGGAATCCTCTTTTGAACCCGTTTGGAACAGCTTTGAGAGTAGTTCCCTGGAAGAAAGGTCATAGGAAACAGGCTGTCCTTTGTTCTGCGTTCCCACGGGATAGCAGCAATTCCTGACAGAAGACCTGCTGGGGAGTGTGTGGTGTCATCTCCTGAACTAAGAGTCATCCATGAACACAGGGAAGCAGATATGTGCTCCCTGCACCTGGCGGCCACGGTCACCTGTGATTCTCCCAATCTTGTGCTTTCCATCCATGGAGCTGCCTGCGAACCCTGAGACATGTGCTCCCAGGCTGTAGCCGATTAGGTGAACTTCGCTTGGAGGAAACTTCACAGATTCCTGCAAGACAGGGCAGGAGGGTTGAAGGAAGGGGTGGTATGAAGCCAAGAGCTTCCACAGGGCCTGTGCTTGGTGCTGTCCATGAATCAATGCTTTATACTGGGAAGCTGTCACCTCACTCACTGACTGTCCTCTTTGAGATATCCTGATGACTGCTGCCTCCTGCCTGCCTGGCTGCAGCTGAAAAGTTCCATTGGTGCCCTGCAGAAACTAGGGGTCCCCTTGTCTTCGCCTTTTAAGGCTGTGATTACAGTGGGGGGATGCCACACTTGTGCAGGTGTGATGGCTCCTAAATGTGTTTAGATTCCTCAGGATTGCTGTATCCAAACTTTTGTCTTCTCTGAGTCATAACGAATGAAGTATAGTTTTAGGCCACACTGGGGCATCCAAACTATGACACACAGGTTTCAAGAGCATAGATATATTTATTTTGTGTGACATGGTGACAGGACATTGTCATTTACAAAGTTCATAATGGATAACTGTGTACATGAGTGTGTGTGTGTGTGTGTGTGTGTGTGTGTGTGTGTGTGTGTGTGTGTGTATGGTCAGAGATAACTTGAGGAAGTCGGTTCTCTCTTTCTGCCATGAGGGTCCATTGTTCTCTAATAATGTTTTATGATTTTGTAGTGGACTGCATTCAAGGCTCTCCATATGTCCTAGTCTGCTTTCTGTTGCTGTGATAAAACACTGACCAAAAGCAACTTGGGGAGGAAAGAGTTTCTTTTACTCTGCAGATTACAGTGCACCATGAGGGGAAGTCAGGGCAGGGACCTGGATGCAGGAACTAAATCAGAAACCATGGAGGAGCTCTACTTTCTGGCTTGCTCTCCAAGCCTAGCTCAGCCTGCTTTGTTGTACAACTCCGGATCACCTGCCCAGGGATGGCACTGCCCACTGTGGGTTAGGCCTTCCACTTCAATCATTAATGATGATGATGATGAATAAAATGTCCCACGGGCTTATCTTACTGGTCACTCTGACAGGCATTTTCTCAGTTGAGTTCCTCTTCCCAGAGGACCCTAGCTTGTGTCAAGTTGACAGTACACTAACCTGCACACCATGGATGCACGGGATAGCCTAGGTAGGGATGGGACACTGTTGCTTTAGGATAATGGAGGGGTGTGCAAACAGGAGGGGTGGCTGGGGAGGAGGGAGAAGATGCTCAAGGGAGGCCTCATATCTGGCCTCAGACCAGCAAGCTGCGTGTCTCCTGGGGCAGCAGGGAGACCTCTCTTTGAGACTCGCTCACCTTCCTTGCTATCAGAGGAGCAGGCCGGTGGACTTACCTCCAGCCATAGGAGAAGAGCGGCCACCTCTTGGCCTACAACACGGGTGTTGCGGACAGCGATAGCGTAATGTTGGTAAGCCAGGGAGATCCACTCCACCATTCCCACGTTCACGGGTCGAGACTTCAGCATGCCTACTAGCTTCCAGATCCACGTTTCTAGCAAGCCATCCACCTGAGGGTGTGCCACAGGTTGTCAGCCTCGCTGAGAGGGGAGAGGGAGCCCTGTTCCTGGGGTCCCTGAATACACAGTTTCAAGGACAACACTAGATCTTCCCTTCCAACAGAAAGGCCTGGGATTCCTCAACCTCGAGCTGAGGACGTTTGAGTTCAGGAGCTCTTGCCCGGCTGTCAGCCCATCTCTAGCTCCGCCCATGTGGTGTAACCCCATCTCCAGCCCCAGAGTTTGAAGACACAGTGTGCCCAGACCTTGCCACATTCTCCCCACCTGAGAATCACTGTCTGAATTTTCCCCCACGGTGGCACTTTCTGAGCCCTAGAACAACGGAAAAGTGTGTGAAAATGAGGTCCTAGAGTTGACTTCTGGAGGTCAGCTCCTCGGTGCCTGGGGTCCCACAAGGTCTGTCCTGCCCTCTTCTCCCTTTGGTGGGATGAATCTGAGACCTAGAGCCCTGCTTTGTGTGCCCCCTGCTTGGGATAACACATGGGGGTGCTTGCTGTGTTCCCAGAGCTGAGTGTGTGTTTGTGCGTTGGAGAATAAGTAGAGGTCAGGGAGGAGGGAGGACAGGCAAGAAGGAGGTCACAGCCGAGTCTAGGGCATTCCAGACAGTCTTGTAGGCCTAAAGGGGGTATAAAGGTGTCTGAGGACTGGAGATATTTAGGAGAGTTCAAGGTCAAACTGCAAGAGGGGAAATGGTAGAGCGTCATCCTCATACCCCACTGCACCCCTATCCCACCCCCATTTAGCCTGCCATCCTTCCAGGGGAACTGAGCTATGCTTATCGAAGTAATGTTTACGGAGAGCCAAATATACCAGCTGAACTACTTTGCATGTACGTTACTTGGCCCCCGTGCCTCCGTTTCTTCGTCAGCAGCATGGGAATGTTGCCTGGTTTCCAGTAGGGTTGTTAAGACCAAAGGAGTGGATGTTCTTAGAACAAGGCCAGGAGCCCAGGCAAGGTGCAGAAACCCACAGTCTTCCAAGCTCTTGTTGCTATCAGCATTAGTGTTTCTAGGTAAACATGTGGTGGTGGTGATGAAGGTAGTGATGGTGATGGTGGAGGTGGTGGTGGAGAAGGTGGTGGTGGAGGAGGAGGTGGTGGTGGAGGAGGAGGTGGAGTTGGTAGTGGAGATGGTGGTGTTGGTGATGGTAGTGTGGTGATGGTGGAGATTAGTGGTGGAGGTAGTAGTAGTCCTGGAGGAGGTGGTGGAGGAGGAAGTGGTGGAGGTGGTGATGGTAGTGATGGTGGTGGTGGAGGTGGTGATGGTAGTGATGGTGGTGGTGGAGGTGGTGATGGTAGTGATGGTGGTGATGGAGGTGGTGATGGTAGTGATGGTGGTGGTGGAGGTGGTGATGGTAGTGATGGTGGTGGTGGTGATGTTAGAGTCTGCAGAGGTTGCATACTCTGGAAAAACAAATTTTGAGACCAAAGAACACATTTTGCTATAGGAGCCTGCAGCTTTGGGTTGCATATCAAAACCAAATTTGTTCATTTGATCATTAATTCAGTGAACAAACATTCTGGAGCACCTAATGTGTGGTGAATATTGGCTTGTAATGTCAGATAAGAATAAGACAGAACCTTTCCAGGCAGGAACTTAAAGCCTAGTGGGTCAGAATAACTAAATGAGAAAGCCCCACAGAAAGAAGAGCCAGAGGGTGCTGGGGCCTGGGAAGCCAGAGACCAATTGTCATACCCTGGGGGAGGGCTGTGCTGCAGCAGGAATGGCCTGAAGGAGATCCTGATTGAGACTGTACCTACTGGGAAAGAAAAGCTAACCCAGAGAAGAGAATGAGAAAGGGGACACTAGAAAGCGGGCAGAGGACGGGAGATGACAAAAGAAGGTGACAGGGTGGACCGATGGGCCAGTTTATTCTCTAGCGCAGGTGAGGTGGGGGTTTCAAGAATACTTTTCGTGTCTGGAGACATATCAGTGGAGTGATTGCCTAACAGTCTTGAAGCTCTAGGTCTGGTCCCTAGCATTGTATAAAATAAACAGAGTGTCACACACTGTTGTTCCAGCCCTTGGAGGTGGAGCCAGGAGTAACAGGAGTTAAAGGTCACCCTTGGCTACATGATGAGGTCAGCTCTTCAAAAAATAATTTTCAAGTAGATGACAAAAAATAAATTCTAATCCATTTGTTGTAGGAGGGGTGACTTCATTGGCAAAGCACCAGCCTTACCCAGAGCCCGCATTTGATCCTGAGAACCCACTTAAAGTTTTTTGATGTGTTGTTGGAGACGGGTCAAGGTTAAGAGTCTATACTCCCTTTGTGGAGGACCTGAGTTCTGCTCCCAGCACCCATGCCTGGCAGCGCACAATTACCTGTAACTCCAGCTTCGGGGGATCCAGCACCCTCTTCTGGCCTTGGTGGGCACCTGCACTCTTATGCACATACACAGAGACAGCACATACACATAACATTTCCTCTGCCCTGCTTACTCCTGGAACTGAGAAAACTGGGCAGTGCTTCACCAACACGGTATGTGAGGTTATCATTGACATTATTAAAGTCCAGCGCATTAGGAGGAAAGACACGAGCAGGAGGAACACACAGAGAATACAGCACATCAGCACTTCCTACCGACCACCCGTGGATGATCATGACCAGCGGCTGGGAGGTGTTGAAGCCACACTCTTGCAGTGTTTCTGGGCTCTGGATTCGGAGCTGACAGCCTCGACGATCATTTTCATCTTTGAAGAGCAGGAATCTCGTCCCTATCTCCTGTGATGGTTTTCTTACTTCAGCAGCTCCATAGCTTTTCCCAAATGGCTCTGGAATACAAAATCAGGATTGCAGGTTAAGCCTGGCATATGTCCCATCAACGCCGATCTTGGGACGGCCCATAGGTGGTTCTGAGCTCCAGCTGGTGATTACTGAGAGGTCCTGGGAACCAGCATGAACTCCATCTTTGAGGAGCCCAAGGATATTCATGGTGGGATGGCCAGATGGTAGTGGGGGACTTGGGAAGTCCCCACACAAGCGGAGTGACCTGACCTTCCACCTGGTAAGCAGCCAGCGAGGTACTGTCTCCGAGGCTTGGGGAATGTAGGTGAGGCGCTGGGACTGAGGCCGGCACACAGTGAGCTTCACCCCAGGTTACACTGGTAGGAAGAGGCAGTCAGGATTTGAACCCAGCTCTGTCTCCAGGGCTAGAGAGAGCCAGCAGAGAGAGAGAGAGAGGATGTCACTACATGTCACCCCTCCAAGCTCAGCCTGCTCTCACTGTAGACATAATATGTAACCTAAACCTTGAAGGGACTCACTGTAGAGCAATAGCGGGGAATCTCAAGGGTGACAGATTGTCCTTGAATGCTGAGAGTTACTGGAGCTGTGTGTGTTTGGGGAGTGGGGCCCTCCAGCTGAGGGAACAGCATGCAGGATGACTCAGAGGCATGAGAACTCGTGACCAAAGACGCAGAGAGAGGCTGAGCAGGAGAGAACATGGATGCCAAAGACCTTGGACTTAATGCAGTGGGGGCTGGGAGGACAGGTCAGTTGGTAATGTGCTTGCCTTGCAAACCTAAGACATAAGACCGGGCCCTGCAATGTGTGTTCGGCATCCCAGGCTGTTCTGGCTGCATTTCCACTGCTGTGATAAAATGTCCCGACCAATGTGGGTCTCTGTCTCTGTCTCCTTACTGGCTTTGTGGGAGCCTAGGCAGTTTGGATGCTCACCTTACTAGACCTGGATGGAGGTGGGTGGTCCTTGGACTTCCCACAGGGCAGGGAACCCTGATTGCTCTTTGGGCTGACGAGGGAGGGGGGACTTGGTTGGGGGAGGGGGGAAATGGGAGGCGGCGGTGGGGAAGAGACAGAAATCTTTAATAAATAAATAAATTATAAAAAAAATGTCCCGACCAAAGGCAACTTAGGGAAGAAAGGCTTCTCTGGTTTACAATTCCAGGTTCCAGTCCTCGGTTCAGGAAGTTAAGAGAAGACCCTGAATCAGCAGCAGTCACGTGACCACTAAAAGCAGAGCGTGAATGAATGCATGCATGCTTAGCCCTCACTAGCATCCTCTAAGCCAGTCCAGGGCTGCAAACTGCCCACTTTCAGGCTAGATCTTCTCTCATCAATTAAGGTAATCAAGACAACCCCTCGCAGAATGCCACAGGCCACCCTGACTGACCTAGGGAATAACCCTTCACTGAAACTCTTCCCAGGTTAGTCTAGGTTGTGTCAAGTAGACAGTTAAAATTTGCCATCACACAGGTTGTCCTCTGACCTCCACACATATGCTGTGGGGTGTGCTCGTGCTTTCTAACACACAAATGCCCCACTACACATACACACACACGCACGCACACACGCACGCACACATGGAAAAGAAAATGAGGATGAAAACAGTAGGCATCTCCTGGGGTGGTTGAAGATTCAGGCAGCTTTGTCAAGTGCTGAGAACAACGCCTACCACAGACTTAGCACCTAGGTAAGGGTGGGTTGTGGGACTAAGCTTGGATCCAGCCCTGGCATCTGGTCCTTCTCATCTGCGAATCTTGTCTTTCTGTGAAAATGTACCCCTGCTGGCCTCCCAGGGCCAGTTCCTTCCTGTGTGTATTGACTCTGGATTTACATCTGAGAACATGTCTTAGCCCAGGTACCCAGGGCCTGCCAGCTGAGCAGGATGGAAGAGTTTTCAGATAGAAGCCCAGGGAAAACAGAGCGATCGGCTCTCCCCTTCTGCCTTTGGATTCCTTCCCCGCGCATGCGTGTGAGGAGGGAGCCAGCGCTCAGCTAACCCGTGCTGCTCACCGCTGATGCTCCAGGCCTGGCTGGGTCTGAGCTGGAAGTAGGTGGGAAAACATATGGCTGCCCTAAGGCTACAGTGAGGATGCCATGAGGGGGGCTGGGGAGGTACCCAGAGAAGATGAAGCTGCGGTGGAGTCTAGGCTGAAGATTTTTCTAAACTCATGTCCAAGAGAAATGAAGGAAGAAAAGGGAGTCTGATGCGATTCGGTGGAGGACGTACAAGTCGGAGGGATGCTGCGGAGAGGGGCCTCGTGCTACTTTGCGCAGCTCCAGCACTTAGACGTGCGACCCGTGGAAGGGCATGATGCAGAGAAGATACTCGACCTTAGTTGAAGAGACTGGCATGGAGACAGAATAATGGTAGTAAACCAAGCAAGATAGATTAAGTGATTTTGTATTATATTTTATTCATTTGCATGTGTATTGTATGAATGTATGCATGTGCCTCGGTACATGTGTGGAGTTCTTAAGGCAACTTTTGGGAGTTGGTTCTCTTTTTCCACCATGTGGGTCCCAAGAATTGACCTCAGGTCGCCAGGCTTGCCTGCAAGTGCCTTTACCCACTGAGCCGTCTCACAGGCCCCAAGACAGATTGTTAAGGAAACATCCTAAAACTTACACTGTGAGGTCAGGTTCCTGGGAGGGGCCTCAGATCATGTAACATTGGGTGCATTTCCTTTCAGTCCCCCTCCACCCGAGACATTTGGCCAACACACTAAAAAAAAAAAGATTTATTTTATTTTTATTTATATGCATGTGTGTGAGTCTGTCTATGACTATGTGTACACGAAGACAGGCATCCATAGAGCCAAGGGCATCAGATTCCCTGGAGCTAGGGTTACAGACAGTTGTGATCCACCCAACATGAGTTTTGGGGGACAGAATTTGAGATCTTTGTAAGAGCAGTGTGTGCTCTTAACCACCGACCCATTTCTCCAGTCTCTCTATAGGTATCTGTTTGGCCTTTTTCTGGCATCAGATATGAATGGTTTTTATATGCTTCCTCTCCTGCCATGGCGGCTTTTCACAGCAGTAAAAATTCTTCACAAACATGTTTTTGAAAGGTGGTATGATTTATCTGTTTCATTTATATTTAGTTTGTTGCCAGATTTTTTTTCTGTATTTAGAACAATACTTCAATGGCCATCTTTATGTTTAAATCTTTGCCAAAATCTATGTGATCTCTAGTAGATATTCCCAAGAGCAGTCTTGTTAGTCTTGTTTATAGCTCTGTGTAAGTTCATACACACTCACAGTGTTTTCAGCATCTTGGTATTCCCAGGACCAGGAATCGAACCTGGGGCCTCACACATGTTGGCAAGCACTCTGCTGCTGACCTGCATTCACAGCTCATGTTTTCAGCATTTTTTCTTGTGTGGGACGTTCATGTGTATGTCTGTGTGTTTGTTGGCATGGGTGTGGGTGCTCGTGTGTGTGTGTGTGTGTGTGTGTGTGTGTGTGTGTGTGTACACATGAGGTCAGAAGAAGACATTGGATTCCATGAAGCTTGAATTACAGATAGCCTGTTTTTGGTGCTGGGAACTAAACTCAGGGCCTCTACAAGAGCAGCAAATGCTCTTAATGACTGAGCCATCTCTTCAGTCTCTCACGTCTTAAGAGACAAGGACTCCAGTGATATGAAGCCAGATGGTACTGTGGTTTGGAGAGGCAATATTACCTGAAGTAAATAGCTACTTCAGGAGAATCTACTTCTCTTTCTTGGGAAAGCAGGTGGTGGGGGTATAGGAGACCTTGGGTTGCGGTCTAGTAAGTTCCCAAGGATGCCAAACACCTTCTCCTTTAGACAAAAGGATTTTTGGATATTATTCCTTGCCGCGATTTCTGCATTCTCAAGCCAGCTCTGTGTTAGAAGATCCTTGGAAATCCATACCAGAACAAATTACTTCCTCTTCTCTTGGGCAAAGACATCATCATGTGGGTGACTTCGGGCAACTGAGCTAGGCCATCTGGCCTAGGAGAAAGCCAGTTGAAGGCTCTGCTTGGCCTTACTTCCTCTGCCTGCAATGCCTGTGCAGGATGTTTCTGCTTGGCTGAGCGCATGCCAGGTGCTTGCCAGGTACTGGGTGAAGTTAATGAAGCAAGTGCACGAGATGGAGGCCTTGGGTACTAATGTACCCCTGCAGAGCTGTTTGCAAAACATCTCTACAAATTCATTATTTAATTGTGGTTGAGTGTGTATACGTGTGAGTGTGTGTCTGTGTGTGTGCTCACCACACTCTTGTTCTGAAACACGTATTGTTGAAAATATTCCCAGACCTGGCAGGAGTCCTCTGGAAGACCATAATTCAGTGTCCCTGAAAATTCTCCAACCACATCCTCTGCCCAGGATGGAACATTCCCACGAAATAAATGTAGCTGCCACTCTGTGGCTGCTGGCATCAAGCCAATGTTTTAAAGTTAGGCCATGTTGACTTTGGAATTCCTTGTGTGAGGCTTAGGCATTGTAGCTCAGTTGGCAGAGTGCTTGCCTAGCCTTCACAAAGCCCTGGGTTTATTCCTAGCACTGCATAAGCCCCATGTGGTGGCACAAACTGTCATCCTAGTCATTGGAAGTGGGAGGCAGGAGGATTAGATACTCAAGATCATCCTTAACTACACAGGGAGTTTGAGGCCAGCCTGGGCTACATGAGACCCTGTCTCACAAAGGGGGAGATGGCTGAAGAGATAGTTCAGAGGTTAAGATTGCAAACTGCTCTTGTAGAGGATCTGAATTGGGTTCCTAGCATCCACTTCAGGTGACTCACAACTACCTAGAACTTCAGCTTCAGGAGATCTGACGCCTCTGACCTCCTTGGGCAACAATACTCAGGTGCAATATGCCCACACAGAGACACTCCTGTACACATAATTAAAAATAATAAAAATAAATATTTTTAAAAGAACATAAATTGGGAATGCTATTCTTAGGTTTCTGGCTTCTTTTTCCTATCTGGACCTGTAGGAGTCCATTAGGGATCCTCTTCTGAGCCTAGCTTGTTGATGCACAGTGGGGCACAGTGCTGGAGAATATTAGGGGCCGGTGCTCTGTAGCCAAATTGCCTGGCTTGAGTCTCAGTTCTGCTGCTAAGGCTCCATGGCCTTAACCTCTCAGTCTCCTCTGTAATAACAGACTAACCGAAACACTCCCACTAGGATTATTGTAAGTCAGAGGTGAAAACGCATTGCTTCCCATGGATGTCCAACCTCTTGGCTTCTCTGGGCCACACTGGATGAAAAAGAATCATCTTGGGCCAC